CTCCTACACTTCACTTAAAGTAAGACTGACACTTAAGAATTAAGATTTACTCCTACACTTCACTTAAAGTAAGACTGACACTTAAGAATTACTCCTACACTTCACTTAAAGTAAGACTGAGACACTTGATAACTGACTTTTACTCTCAGCTTTTAACTAAGATTTATTTTACACTTAAGTCCACTCTTAGCAGCATTCTTAAATTCTAAGAAGTTTGATAAATATGGGCCCTGGTTGCTTTCATTAGAAAAATGCATAGTCTTACCCCAGGTTTAGCCGTTCTGTGCCTTTGGGAAAGGTTTTTGGGATGGTGGTGAGGTGTCTGAACGTACAGTGGACCTCTTTAATTCCTGGACAGCTGCAGCTTCGAGGGCAGGATGGAACACCATGAACAGAAAGAATCTAAATAGTGAGGAAGAAAAAAACATGGAAAAAAAGAGAAAATTGTTGAGAAGATGTCAAGAATCAGACAAACTATGGTGTAGAACTGTGGCACAGTAGTAGGTTCGTAAAGGAGGCACAAAGAGTTACAGCAGGTGGAACAAACTGACAAAAATTAATCTGTAATGTTTTATCATCTGATATCAACAACATTGTGTTTCAGTTGGATTGGACAAAGTATCTGCCTCCTTTAATTCTGTCTTTTTGTTGACTAACAACCTTTTTTAAAAAAAAACAATTCTAAATAATAAAACACATTCCGGATTAACGAAGTGCAATGAGGAAAAAAAACTTGATTTACTTTGAAGCTCCAGCCAGTACCTTCAAAGCTACATACAGTAACAAGTCAGATAAAATCCACATGTGAGCGAGTCCAGCATCAGATGATGTCAGTCTGCAGAGACTGCAGGACACATGTTCTTTATGGGTCATAGAATCGGCAGAGAGACACCTCTGATGGCCTTTTCCCATGAGCTCAACTCAAGGTATTCCCAACGACCTTCATCCTGGTTGTTAGGACCTACTCCGCAGAGGTTTCTGTCGAGTCGAGTTTAAGATTTGACATCAGCAGACTGTCATTTATTGGTCATTAGTGTGTCTCTACGGGAATAAATCCCACCAGTTTTAAAATGTCTCAACCACAACATTCATTAGTGTTATTGCAATGATGAAGTGCAGACATTTCCATACTTGGTGGCTGACAGCAGAATTCAAACTAGACACCGTATAGCGGTAACATAATGACCCCCGCACGCACAAATGCACCGGAACTCAGAAATCTTCATTCCTAATAAATGTCAAGCTACTAGGTGCATCCCAAATTTGTAGTGGTTTGGGTGGGGGTCTTTTTTGGGGGGGTGGGGGTTGGTTGACCCCTCATC